ATAAGTAAGTTATAAAAATTAATATTTAAAATTTTATTAAAATTTTTTAAAAACTTATTAAAATTTTAAATATGCAGACAAATTTGCCTGCGTTACAATTTAAGGGATAGACCCACAAGAAATCAAAAGAAAGGTAACATCACATTTTTCAAACTCCACAATAGAAACCAGAGACCTGGACAAAGAGACTTGGGACAAATATGAGAAAGAATACACATTACAATTGAACATTGACATAACATGGTATGACCCAATAACACAACCAATATTAATAGTCAAAGTCAAAGCCACCATTACCAAAGCAAAAGCAGAGTCTGCTTCAGAAAGATTCAAGCTCAACTACGCTATGCTAAAACATATTGGTAGTAAAGAAATCAAAAGAATTACGTTAATTTTTAACAGAATCTTGGAATTAACAGAAATCCCAAAGCAGTAGAACAAAATCAATATTTATCCAATCCCCAAGAGAACAGACTGGCAATATGATCTTAACTATACAAGACCTATTGCACTGTTAGAAATGATCAAAGAAATATTTACCAAAATTATTAACAACAGAATAAGTAACATACTAATGGAATACAAAATCCTTTCACTACTCAACTGGACAGGACTTCCAGGAGGAGGCATACAAGAATCAATCAGCATTCTTAACAATGTATTGGAGAAGACAAAAGAGCTAGACAAGGAATGCTGGATCCTAAGCCAGGACATTAGCAAAGCCTACGATTCAATAAACCCAAAGCTTTTAAGCAAGGCTTTACAGAGAATCAAAGTTTCAACAACCATCAACAAGATTCTAGAAAACCTAACCAACAACAGAGAAACCAGTGTCATCATATTTCATGGTCTTACAGACAGTTTTAAACCAGCACAAAGTATAGACCAAAGAGATATAATCTCATCTTTACTATAGCACATCTACTATGATCCACTAATTAACAAAGTAGAAAAAGAAAATATAGGATACAAGTTTTCAGTTCAAAAACTCACAAACAATCCAAGTATATGAAAAAAACAAGAATATAGCATCTCATCAATAACATATATGGATGATACAATCTGGATAGCAAGTTACTGAGAACATATCGACAAGATCATCAAAACTACAGAACAATTTGCAAAGCTAGCTAATCTTAGAGTCAAACCAAAAAAAGTAGTGCTTCTTACAATAAATAGTAAAGATATAAAAGACCTTCAGTTCCAAAACCAAGTAATCAAATCAGTGGAATTCAAACAAGCCATAAGAATCCTTGGAATATAGATCACAGCAACAGGTAGCAAAAAGCACCAGCATGAACTGATCAGACAAAAGGTGAAAACAACAACACGAATTTTGAAAAAAGCCATGATTACGGACAAACAATGCAGATATATTCTGAATCAGGTTATGATGCCAGCTATAGAATATATGCTACAAGACATAGTTCTCTCGAATCAAGTTATCAACATTCTGGACAGTCAAATTAGGCAAGCCTTCAAACACAAAATTGGAGTCTCGAGCACTGCCCTAAACAGCAGTATATATGTTTATATAGAATATAAACTATTTTGTATAAAAGACAGACAATTCGCATTACATATCAAAAACTGGATAACAAACCTAAACAAAAACAACTTGTGTGGAGCACTAACCAGAGGAAGACCACAGCACCTATAAAATCAAACATGGACACCAGAAAACATACTTCAGCCAGAAATGATAATCGACAAATCCAAGAAATGTCTAACAAGCCAAATTCTACAGATGTTCAAAGAGGAAGACATTATGATAGAACAAAACCAAGATCATAGCCTGATATAAACATATAACAGCACAGGATTGCACATGATTAAAGATATTATGGAGCAAACATAGAGCAAGGAAAACATCAAAAACATCAGAAAGCACAACCTAATGTTCATCGAACAGATCACTAATGCCCAACAAATACACATGCTCAACTGGAGACAAATCAGAGCAGCCAAAGGATATAAACTGACTGGCAAGCAGCCAAGATGGTTTACCAAGATCAGAGAAAAATGCAGCCAACCAGATATCTTAGAAAACAGGTACATAATTATACTGACGAATCTAACAAGACCCAATTCAATCTTGCAACTAGAAGTAGCAAAAAGCCATAACATCCAAAAGCAAAGATACTTGACATATATGATTAACCAACAAATACACATTAGAAGAATAGATCGCAAATGTAGAATAATAGATAACAAAGTAAGAGTACAACATATGTGACAAAGAGGAAAAGATTCACCTATAGACAAGTGTCCAGAGTATAACCACAGAGACAACACAAGAGAGGAGTGTATCAGGGAAATCAAAATAGACCAGGCAATAATTATTCCAATAATCAAAACCACACATAGTGCAAAGCTTCACAGTCAGATCTTAGGACATCTGGACAGAATACAAACATTACCAGACACAATAATGTACAATATACAAAATCCAGAAAACAAAGAATTAGCATTATAATTGATGAAAAACAAACAGAAATAGAAGACAAAATCACAAAATACCTACAAATCAGCAATTCAAATAAAAAAGAACTAGCCAAAATAACTGAACAAATAGAAAGCTGGAAAAGAATAAAAGCATACACAGATGGCTTAATGGTTCAGGAAGCAACCAATCGAATTAAGATAGGAGTGGAATAGTACATAATCAATTAAGAAACAGGAGAGAAAGTTATATACTCAAGTCGTACAGAAAATTTTTTATCATTAACGAGAATAGAATTGATGGCAATCTTAACTATACTAGTCACAATCCCAGTATAAGCAGAAGTCGAAATATATACAGACAACTAGGCAGCCATTCAAGGGATTCAAAAAGAAGACAAAGGAAGCTGCCAAATCTATAAAAGCGCAAACTAGATAACAAAAACTCTAATTAAAAGAATCATCAAAGAAAAACAAGGACAAATAATATTTATTAAAGTCAAAGCACACTAAAGAGAAGAGAACAATGAAGAGACAGATGAACTGGCAAAAGAAGGAGCAAATAAAGGAAATAAAGCAATTATAACAGCCAACCCAAGAGCAGCAGCATGGGGAACACTAAATTTAAGAGGATACCAGCTAGACACAAATATCAAAGAATTCCTGAAAAACATGCAAAACACCAAATGGATGGCAAATTGAATAACACAGAGAAGAAACAGAGTATAGATTGAATATAGAGATGAGCTACAAATAGACTGGCACTTTATCTGAGAAGTGCAATACCAATTTAAAATAACTAAAATATATACAAGCTGAGAAGATCAACACATATAGAATAATCAGATACAGATTACTAAATGGCAAACTTCCTATACTAGATAGGCTAGCAGAAAGAAGACCAAATATCTACGAATCAAACAAATGCCCAGAATACAAGAAAAGAGAAAGTCTAAAGCACTTAATGCACAAATATTGGCAATACAAGATAACAGATAAATACAAAAAAATAATAAAAGAAGAAACTGAAAAGTGTCAAAGAAATTGCAACAAAGGGAAAGAGAAAGAAGACTCAAAACCAAAAATGCCATTAATTATGAACTTGAAATGCATAAGAAACTATATAATAAGAGGAATTCTGACCAAAGAGATAACCCGATATATATATCAGTTTGCAAGGGAAAAAACAAAAGAAGTATGCAGAAGAATTGTTAAGAGAACAACAAAAGTAATCAATGAGCTATGGAAAAAAAGATGTGAAGAAATCACAGAATGGGAAGAGATAAACAATATCAGCAAAGTGGACAAAAGAAAGCTAAGACACAAATTATACTAAATAGAAATCGAAAGAAACAGAGAAAAAAATGAAATAACAGCAAATAGGAAAAAGAACCTGGAGAGGAAATTGCTAGAAAAATGGATTAAAAACATGGACAAAATGCCAAGAAACAATTTTTTTTATTTATATACTAGTGATATTAACAATAGCAATACCTTGGCATGTTAGTTTCAACCTCTATCCATTAGGAAAAGTTAATAGCAACAGCTAATATTTAGGAAATCTTGATATAGTTTAGCATACACTTATCAATTAATGTTATAGCATAATTTATATACAGAAATGTGTATAAATATATGTAAATATTGACTTTAATAAAGTTTACTAAGCAAAGTTAAGCTAGTTTAAAAATAAAAAATAAAAAAAATAAAAAAAATATTATAACATATCTTAACAAAATAAATATTTTATTATTTTGCTCTTTTTATTATATCTAATAACATTATCAGATTTCATATTATATAAGATAAAACATATAGGAATTATATATCTTGTTTATATTTCTTGTTACATGTAAATTAATCAGTTTAAATTTTAAATCAATTATTATTTAAGAATTTTGATATAACTAGTTAAATTAAGATAAATAAAATTTCTTAAAAAAATTTAAAAAAAAGTTTATATGCTTAAAAAGATAGAAAAAAAGCTTAAAATTTGTATTAATCTTTTCTAAAGTTTTAAACTTTTGAAAAAAAAGAGATAAGTATTTTTTTACAGGTTTTTTTTTTTTAATAAAATATTTTTGCCTTTGACTTTGTAAGTAGATTTTTCTTATATTTACTTGTAAAAATACAAGAAGTTTATATCAAATAAAAAAGAAAACCAAGTAAAAGGAGATTGGAGTCTCTATATAATAATTTTATTAAGAAAAATATATATATAACTTCTTTGAAATATATATACGTATATATATTTTATATATTTTATAGTTTATTTAATTTAATTTTAATTCTAATTACTTTTATTTTTCACTTTTTAATTTTCTTTTATATCTTAAACTTTTTTTTTGAGTAGATAGTCATGTTTCTTTTTGAATATGTATACTTTGATATACAGTATATTCGTTAGAAATAAACAAATAATAATGGTAATTGATTCGGAAATCTATTTCCTCCGATCAAAATCTCATAAAATTTATACATACTAGTGTATATTGATATTTCTCGCTAATGGAACCTCTATCAGATACCAAGTTACCAGTGTGTCCGGAAAAACTTTCAAAGCCTAAAGTCTCGGAAAATATTAAGAAAATAAAAGAACGAATAATCCAAACCAATCAATTGTTGCAACTTTTTAAGACTAAAGAAAAAGGTATTTAACATTTCAAAAGCTTATGTTGGCGCGTCTTTCCTTGCTGACTTTCATACATGATTAAGAATTAGCTCAACACAAAGAATGCATCGCGTCCTTGGAGCAAAAGCTTTCGAAAATGAGGACACAGACAATCACATTAAATAAAGAGAATGAAGTTTTTCGACAGGCAGCACAGCAGTTTCGTTCTGAGGTTGAAAAAATAAATAAAGAATTGGGACAGAAAGACGCTCAGTTGAAAGATCATATAACTCTGACAAATGAGCTAAAACGACTTCGGGCTGAAAATGAGAAACTAGGAAAGAAGAATAAATCGCTCGAGGTATTACAAATACGCTAGTTGGCGCAGTAATAATAATGCTTTTATTTAAAAAAAATTTTGATCTTATAGGTTTTGAAAAGTCAACTGGAGTGCAAAGTACAGGAGAATGAAGCTACAGTTGATATACGGGAAAATCAAGCAAAAGAAATAACACGGTTAAAGAAAGAGCTTGAAAAAAAGTAAGCTTTCTAAGTTAATAATATTTTTTTTTAGGATTATTTCAAGATCCTCCATTAAATTATTTGATATTTATATCTTGATTTTTTGCGGCGCTAGTATTGCACACTCACTATGCTCCGCCGGACTCTAGTATTGCACTACTACTAGGTGTCCTTGGAAATGAAGTATTACTTTAAGTTTCTTTTGTTTTTTTAAAATAATTAATTTAACATACTTATTTTGTTCATCACTCCCCATTTATTTCTGAAATAAGAGAAGAACAATGTAAAAAGAGCCAATTGGAAAAAGCATCCGTGGATTCCAAAATGAAAAAGTTGCAAAGGGATGTAGAGAAATCTAAAGAGGCGTTAAATAATAGGATTAACATGTTAGAGGCGTCATCATTGGAAAAAGATACAACTATTGAATCTTTGAGTCACCAATTGGAAGAATCGAGACAACAAGAAAATAACGTGGAAGATATGAGACATGAAATTATTAGGCTCACAAATATAGAGCAATCTCAAGTTAGTAACTCAAGAGAACTCGACGAGCTAAAAAAGCAAATGCAGCAAGCTAAAGCCGTGAATATAAAAATAAAGAAAGAATATGTCGAACAGAGCAGAGAAATGAATAAGCTCAAAAAGCGCAATGCTGAACTGGAAAAGTTTAAAAGGGAAACACAAGATGTAAGGGGAATAGTGCAGAATGAAAAAGACGCGTTGGTCAGCAACCTTCCTCAAGGAGATAAAGAAACAATTCAACATGTTATTTTGCTAATAGAAGAAATTCAATTCATGAAACATGATGTAGAAAACTTGGAAATTCAAAAGGTAACATCAGAGAACTATCAATTTGTTGGAATTCACTATATTAGTAAATTATCTATTTTCAGAAAGCTTTACAAGACTTGGTTACCGCGCAACAATTAGAAATATCACGGTTAAAAAAGTTTCGAAAATCTGTCTCATTTTCTCGCGTTAACGTAGGCTATCAAAAATGACCTTTATTGTAATTGTTAGCTTCCGACGTATTGATAAATTCTGAAAATTCAAAATTATAGGAAATCGAAAAGTTATATAATAAACTGAGCGAGATACCGTCTCAGGAACGGCATTCAAACATGTCGCCTGACCGTGATTCTTCTATTCAGTGCCTCGCAACTTCCCCTTTAGAGCTCGTAGATTCGAATAGCAGAGATAGTCAAACAGTATCGCAAAATGAAACACGTAAGCCAGGGATCAATGTGCAACCTTCGAGTTCGTCTATTTCTGAAAAAGATATGGCGGGGGAAAGAAATAAATTGAACAAGCTTAAACGACATAAATTGATGGATGTTTGTGCAGAGCCCCGCATTGTAAAAAAGGTGATAACTGCTTCTGAAGATACAACGAACGAAGCGAAAAAAGGTTCTGGAAGAAAAAGAAAAGAGTCAGAAGCCACATTATTACTCGCCCCAAATATTTTATCAAAGGATCCTGAACAACCAAAAAAAAGAAGAATCAGTAAAAAAACTGAGATAACGTTAAAGAATAAAGTCTTTTTTGATCCCATTGATGATTTAACTTGTGAGTATGAAGGAGAAACTTTCTTTTTTCTTTGATGTGTATGCTAAAACTGATCATTCATTGGATAGTCATAAAAGAAAAGATCCAGGATTTTACGTCTTCCTCTCAAGAATCGTTTCGATCCATGGATGTCCTACGACAATTCGCCTTCGATAAAAGTGCGGTTTTCCTACAAGCACTTGATGAATTGATTCGTAGCATTGATACACCATTGTATTTGGATTCGGATAGTAGAGATGATGCACTAAGGAATTTTACACGAAAAGGTTCTTTCTTAATACAAATACCTACCGTATTACCTCAGAAAGAAACAAACATCTTGTTATTTTTGTGGTTTCTTTTTAGTGAATTTCCTACGGTATTGTATTTTAGCATGTTTATACATGAAAAGAATTTTATTTTATTTTCTAATTTAGTTTCCTTTGTGTGTAATAGAGTAGATTATTGGATAAGATAATTCCGTGGATCAACGACAAATTCATTCTATGTGGGAACAATTTTGACGATTTGGTCGATTTGACATATTGCTGGTGTGTATGAAAATGCAAGTTACGTTCAAGTCTCCAAATAACTTATCACTGATAGAAGTTTATTTTTTATTATATATAGCCGTTGGTGCCGTGTATTTGTGGCACTTTGTAGGGCTGTTAAAGATTTGCAACGAATTCGCGTATTATGTTACGATATCTTGCGAGAGAAAACTGATCGAAGGTGTATCCAACATCTAATCGAAAACATTGCGAGAATTTGTCCTATGGCATTAAAAGCCTCGGAAAAAGATTATAATGCTGATAAATTTTCCATAGGTTTGGATCATTGTGATGTTATAAATCACACGAGAAATTACGTTTCCTTTAATCTTAATATATTTCGTTTACATTACTTTGCATCAGATGAATCACTCGTTCTACGTACAGTCGAGAGCATTGTTGCTGGAGTTTTCATAGAGAAGATGCACGATGAATCGGTAACCAAGTTATTATTATTTTTTTACGCTATAGCAACAAATTTTAATTTATTTGCCAAGTAGGTTTACAAAATGTACAAAACATTTGTCCATTGTTGCTCCTGGAATGAACCGTCTCGAACGCCGCTCCTCGAAAAAATTTTAAAAAGTCTAGTGGACGTTTTGCAGTCTGAAGAATTTCACAATCGTTGTTTCAATGAGTACCATCAAGGTATGTCGTGAACCCTGATCAATCTTTCTACCTTTAGATTATATAACAACCTTCTTTTTTCCTTAGAACAATTCCAAGAATATTGTTTCAACCTGATAAAATGTTTTGAACTAGCGACTTGCTGGTTGAAATGGGATGATGTATTTGATAGGTTTATTGGGAAAATTCTCTGGCCCTTGGTTAAAGATGAGAAGGGAAAAGATATTCCTTTGGAAATTATTGGGGCGATATGTCGTCCAAGGTTATCAGAGCATGAAGACAAAATAGGAGTAGATGAAATAAGGCGAAGAGTGTCTTTATCATTAAATCAGAATTGTCCTGGTATATTATTTTTATTATCTATTTCTTAGTCTTTCAAATATTGCACTGACTTATCAACATTCATGATTTTAGTTTCCTTTACGTTACAAGTTCAATCTGCTCAAGTTTTGATTAAACTCTCTAATGGAAATGCTAGCTATTTTCAGGATATACTATCTTGGTTCTCGCATTTACAAGATGATAAAATACGACAATTACCCAAATCTTTAATTGATGATTTGGAATACATTCGATCTTTGTCCTGAATTTTATCAACTATCGTTAATTTTGTGCATGTAATTGAGGAAAGAATGTCTATATCCGTTTTTTTCTGTAAGCTATTTAATTAAGTTCAAAATCCGATATTTAATAAACAAGTACTCTTGAAAAGATAATTTTACGATAAAACTATCTTTTCTTCGTTTCGTTGTCTTTTTAATCATTTCCTTTTCAATGACCTATTTATTAATCTTTTATTTCAACTTTGCTGTTTAATGCTTTATTTCATGTGATCTGAATCTCGAAATTTCATTAAATAAGTTTCGCAATGCTATCCAACCCGAAATGAGCATTTAATAAATCTACTGCAATGGCTTATAAAATACTTAAAGAATACTCAATTAGAAAAAACAAGAAATTTGATTCTGAGATGCCGTTTGTAATTTGAACATGCAAGTTGAAATTTCAAACACCTATGCACTATTGCGGGATATCTACATAATGAATGAACCACAAAAAATTTGCTTTTTGTATATCGATCAATTCCACCTTTTTAAACGGATATAGACAATTTCATGGAGTTCTCTGTGAAAGGATTTCACGTAAATATCGAAAATGCAAAGGTGAAATGATGTTTGATATTCGTATAAAAGATGCCTACCCTTCTATCGGCGTCGTCGTTTCCCTATCATTCGTTTTTTTGCGGCTGCTGAACTTAGAATTTGCTCAGAATCTGCATCAGCCGAATCGTCTTCATAATCTTTCTTTCTTAATCTGCCGGCCATTCCTTTCTTAGTTGATTTGTCATCTAAAACTGGATCATCAGATACGAGCTGTTCGGTTTCTTTTCTGCTTGTTCCGTTCTTTTTGTTTGGTGTAGATGAGTCGGAGACAGTGCCCGATCCCCCCTCAAACACATCTTCGTACGACTCTTCTGTGACTTTTTTTGAGCTTGTAGACTGATCTGTCACTTCTTCAAAATCTGCGGGTGAATCTTGTTCACTTGTAACACCTCCCTTTCCTCTCTTTTTCGGTGGCAATGCATTTTCCGAATTCTCTTGGTTACTGTTAAGCGTTTTCCTTTTCCCGGTAATAGGAGTGCCCGGGCTTTCTTCTTCTTGTAATTCGTTATCATCAAATAGCATCTCATCATCATCAAAATCACTTTTACCGCCATCACTAAAAATAATATCGTCCTCTTCACTGTCTCCAACGCAAGCGATTGGTTCCCCAGCACCTTCGGCTTGACCCCAGTGTCCTCTATCAACTTCACCACCATAATACACAAACAATTCTTCCCCTTTCTTGATGTCCCTCTTGGTCCAACAAATAACTTGATTGACCTCATTTCCTTCCAAAAACACCATATTTCCAAATGGATCTTCATTCATGAAATGAAAAGGACAATATATTTCACCTTTGGGGTCTGTAAAAGGTTCTCCGTTTTCATCAGTGGCGTCGAGGATCGTATGTTTGTATCTCATGGAATAATGAGAAGCTTTTCCAACTTTATCTTTTACATGGTCAAATTCGTCTTCCATCATTGGAACCCCAAAGTAAAATCCCAGAGGTGTCGCCATAGGAAGATTACGTCTTGCAAACAAACCATTACCCGCATTTGGTATGGTAGACGGTCGAACTTCAACTACGTCGTCTAAACTTCTGGGAACACCTAAGAGATCAATACCTGCCAGATAATCTTCTGAAAGATCATTAATACATCAGTCTTTGTTAGAATCATCATCGACAATCGTTTTTTGAATTGGGTGGTTAAGAGCTTTTCTTACTTCTTATTCCAGTTTGTGTTTTCTCGAAATCAAGGCTATGCGGATTTGACGAGTCCTTGATCTTTAATTTTATCCTTGGTCGTTCAATTTCTTTGCATACATCGGTTCTCAATGGGTAAATACAAAGATATCCTCGAGACTTGCATTTCGAGCATGAGGGTACCTTGATATCGCATGATGTCTCAGGTGCACAGCGTCTGCATCGTAAGTGAAGTGGATTGCTTGCACCAACACTTAACATAATCACGCGTCCACTATTTATTAGATTGGCACCTATATTTAATAACAAACATCAAAAATTAGGGATCAAACGATTCGAACAGTTGACTTCTGCAATATTATTAACCTTGCTTATTTTTCTTGACCTTTCCAAAACATAAAGGCCAATCGTGCTCTATTAATCTCTCCATCCAACTTTTATAATGCTTGATAGCATCGTTAATGTCATTAGGTATGAATGAGAGTGTATAATAAGATGTTTGCGAACGATCTCTTTTGAATTGCACAAAATATTTGTCAGCATTGGTAGTTAAACAAGCGCTGGCCGAATTTCTTGGTGTCTATATAATGTGATTATAAATATTTAGACCTGTAAATGAACTTTTGATTTCCATATCAACATAAGTTTAATTTTGAAGTAGGGCATGCCCAAAAAAAAACGAAATACGCACCTGACCAGTAAAACAACGTGGTAATCCCGTTTCATCGCTTATTTTTTCATCTAAAGCCAACGCAGCGTCAATAAGATTTGTACGCGCCATGGTAAAATTGGGTGCGTTTTGTAAAGTCAAAAGCATCATGTGTTGTTGATTGTGCCATCGAGGTCGAAGATATGGTGTTCTAAGACGCGTTCGACGGGTCTTCTCATATTCCTCAGTCCCAACCTGATCCTCATTTAACAAATTCAACCCCTTTGGAAAATATCTAGAAAATAGTTCTTCAAATGTTTTTTTTTCACAATCTAATATTTTTGGTTTAATAAGATCTGCAAATTTAATGCCTTTCCCATTGGCAACGTCCTGAACACATGAAAAGAAATATTCCAGGCTAGTTCTCATTTCCTTATCAAAAAACAAATTTCTCGAAATGTCGTTGATATGAGGATATACAATATATACATTAAGATCTGAATTGTATTTGGCCGTGCAATCCTTAAGGAACGTCGAAAGCGCTTCGCGCGTGCTTATCCAATCCCTATGAGATTGTGCCAAAACGGTTTCCGCAACATCGATTAGATCAGGGTTGATTTCAATTGAAGTGGTTCCATTAGGAGTGTCCTGAGGTGTTAATGTTGCTATCATTATTTCACGAATCTTTTCAGCTCTAGCACCAGTGGCACAATCAGGAGTCGGTGAAATAGTGAGTAACTTTTCTACCAAGGTTAATCGGCCTCTATGATCCATATTCGACAATCTGGTGAGTGCATTCGCAAAAACTTTCAAAGAGAGTGGTGATAAAGCCTTTATTGCAATGTCTTTAACAATATCTTCCCAAGCTTGTTCGACCGTTAAACCTTTTTGTAACTTTGGACCGATTCTAGGTTCTAGCCACTTTTTCAGTACTTCGGATATTTCTAAATCTTTTTCATCTTTGTTTTCTTTAAGTTTAGATAAAGAGTTAGATAACATTTTGTAAGATCTTGACGCGAAGAAGTGGTTGATCGTCTTCAAGGCACTGGGATTTGCTTATTGAAATAAAGTACACACACTCTCCAAACTTGCACTCTTGATACTAACGAGCTAAATTAGTGACGCTTTAACTTTGATCGTGAAGTTTAGATAATGATGCGTGTTATAATCCGTTTAATAAAAAAAGATCCAAGTAAGTTGTATTGTTATGTTACTCTTTGATTGCATATTTATCATGTGACAATTTGAAATAATATTTTTTAATGATTATATACTGTATATGCGTATATATTAATGCTTTTACATTTTAATAAATTTATTTTGAGGTTTCTAAGTTTGATATTTAGAAATGTTAAACCAGTTTACATAAACCTAACCTAACTGGTTTAACCGGTTCCTATATGTACAATCACATGACTTTATTTCAATTAAAATTACCTATTTATATACAGTATGTCAATCTTTTTTTTTTTTGAGGGATTTCTCCAGTAAATAAATATCATTTCTTTATTTTGATTTGTTTATAACAAGATATACATCATTGAAAGAAATAAC